GTACCATGGGCTGCCTAGAAAACAAACAGGTTTGTCCTGGAAAGGCAAAGAGTCTGAGGCTTCGTCTCACATACTTTGGACATATTGTAAGGAGGGACTGGTCCTTGGAGAGGGATGTCATGCTTGGGAGGGTGGAGGGACAGTGCAGGAGGGGATGACCCTCAAGGAGGTAGATTGAGTCAGTGACTGGGGTAATCGGGGTGGGTGTGTTAGAGAAAATGAGATTGGCACAGGACAAAGCAGGGTTTAGGGCTGTTGTACATAAGGTGTTGCAAGCAACTTGATGGCATATAACAACAACAAGGTCACATCTACTAAGAGTCAACAATGATGCTTGATTATTTTGAAGTCTTAAAGCCCATTTGTAAAGATCAGCTCAGAACTCATTTCCTCAAATATCTAATGCTTATTTTCATACACAATCAGCCCTAATAAATGTCTGGTAAATTGTTTAAATATGTGTCTGTAAATAAAGCACATTTGGTAAGACTTCTCAAATAACTAGCCTATACTTGCTTGTCTTCATTAGAAAATAATTTCTTCTGGGTTTTTTTTACATATGAACAGAATTCATTTAATATTTTTGTAACTCTTATTGAGATTGAGGGTACAATCTTTGTAACTAAGAATTTAAGATTGTTGTTGTTAAGTGCCGCTGAGTCATAGGCAACTCATAGCAATCCTATAAATGAAAATCCTCAACACAGTGTGACTCTCATGCTTTCTCCAAGTTCATAGGGTTCACAGTGTTCAGCTTCACAGCAAGCACAAGTTACCACTGTCCTGCAAGTGGACACATTAGGGTATAGATATAAGAATATGAGGAAGGGGATACTATTGTGGTGGTGGAGAGAGGGAGTGTTATCTGAAACGTAACAGGTATCACCCACTGTCTTTACCACAAATTAGCAAGCCCCTTGAAGAATATGTTGTTAGCAGCTGTCAGGTCAGCCTGTCTCATGACAACTTCATGCATAATGGAATGAAGTACTGCTCCATCTTGTACTATTCTCATGAACGACCATGGATCAATAATTGTGATCCATAGGGACCATTGTGATTCATTGGCTAGTTTTCAGAACTAAGTACCAGGCCTTTCTTCCTAGTCTTCTCTAGTCCTGAAGTTCTGTTGAAATTTAAGCATCGTATCAAGAGAACCTCCAATGACAGAGCATTGAGATACCTCAATTCTCCATTCTTAATAAATTTTTACTCGTATTTATGTCATATCTGTTACCACAAAGGAATAAGAGATTGTTACACATTAGTCTGTTCCCACAGTTGTATAGCAAATTGTGTTTGCCATTTTCTTTGTAGGCGTCGTTGTGGTGTAATAGGTTAAATGTTGGACTGCTAACCCAAAGGCTGTCAGTTTGAATCCTCTAGTGACTGTGCATGAGTGAAACAAGGCAACCTTTCCATAATCTCCATTTATGATTTTCAGCTTCAGAAACTCCATACAGTTGGAATTGACTCAACAGCAGTAGATTTGGTTTGGATATAGTGGTCTTATATTATAGTAAAATCACTCTTTAAAGTTATGCTGTTAAATGAATGAATAGAAGATTAAAATTTTTTACTAACATTGCTGTCATAAAGTCAGCATTAAAATCCATGAGTATCTTCTTTCCTGCCAAAAATGCTATGTTGTTGTTGTTGTTGTTATGTGCCGTTGAGTC